CCTTCGGCTCCATCTCGCCGATGTCCAGCTTGTCCTCATCCTTGAGAGGTTCAGCATCTTCCTTTCGGAGTGTCTCCACCCACTTGGCTACACGCTCACGCTCCAGCTCACCATTCAACTTCAGCAACTGCATGTCTTCCGTCACAGGAACCCATGTGCCGAGAGCCTCTCTCGCTGGCAGCTTCTCACGCCGGCCTTCCACGTTCATCACCGAGATTCGTACCATCCCGTTCTTCACAGTATCGGCCGTCGGTGCCAGCATCAAGTGTCTTCTATGGGTAGGCTTCGGTATGAATATCCCTTCCGTGCCGTCCTCAGCATCAACTCGCATGTGAACCACATTGCTGGTACTGTTCGCTAGCTTCCGCGTCTTCGCCAGACGTACCATCACCTTCCTTGGCTGCAAGCTCGAAACTCCATGACACGTAAATGGCCAAATAACCTTCTCGCCGGTGTCACTCACGTACTTTAACTCTCGTGCGCAAAAGTCCATCTTAATCTGGTGCTGCACCATCCAATCTTCACCAACAAGCAGCTCATCGCCTTGGCCTTCAACCAGAAGCGCGTCAACTTGTATTCTCTGCTGGTACTGGGTAGTACCCACGAACCGCCAAATGCCCAGGACCCGACTAATGCCTCCGCCGAATCCTTCAACAATATCCACGGGTGCATTTCCGTGTGATGCAACGGCCATACTTCTTCAGTTCTTCACCAGCCACGCTGTACTGCGCACAGCTGTCAAGCCGGACCTCCTGCGTGTGCTTTCGCGTTAGTGCCAGTAACGCCGTAGGTAAACAGCTCAGTCCATCACTTCCAACTGCTCGTAATGGGGCGACTCGCACTTGTTTCCCATTGCCGTCGTCTCTCAGCTCCACATCACCGTAGCATCCACTCTGCTTGTACTCATAGGTGCGTCGGGGCTTCTTCCTCACCACCGGATTCTTCTTTGCCGGCTCAGCACTACCAGATAACTCTTTCCATCGTTGAAGTCGTCGGAGTCGCTTAGCGAACCGGAAACGCTTGGCTTTCTTCTCGGCTTTACGTCTTGCAGCTCTTATCTCTGCTAATGACCCGTCTTCAATTAGTTCCTCAGGTGCTTCTTCCTCGAACCTGACAACCTCTTCCAGCCATTCATCCGTCGAGAACGCACCGGTGTTCTTCAACGGGACATCTCCATCTGACTTGTCAGCCGCTATGCCCTTGGCCGTAGACTTGCTCTTGCCAACCTTCTGCTTCTTGGTCACCTCTGCTCGCTTCACTGCCTCAGCCGCGATCTGTGCTTCCCGTCGCTGCCGCTTTGGCTGCTCTAGACCATCGGGTATCCGCAGTTCTTCAATCAGATGCCTAACACGCGTTCGCAGCACTTTCGCTCGTGCTTCTCGCCTCAGGGCTAGCTCTGTGACCAAGATACCTCTGCCTGCCGCCACCTCATGTTCAGCTCTTCTCTTCCGCCGCTTGGCTGAAGTTGTTCCTCCAGCGCTTAGTGGCACCACTTGGCGTTCAACTGCTGCTGGGATCGTCCTCACTCGTTCCACCTGCCCTTCTTGCACGGCATTTCCAGGCGATTCGTCTCTCTCTGTCACCTCAGCGTCAACTGCTGGCTCACTTACGACCGCTGGGGCCTTTTCTTCATCTTCTGCTGCGTCAGTCTCTCCCGGTTTTGCTGGCTCGTCGGCTGTCGCCGGCTCTTCATTGTCATTCTCATCATCAGCTTCCACCGGTTCTTCACTTTCGTTCTCTTCGACTGTCTCACTCTTCCCCTGGATTGAACCACCCAAGGCGTCACACCTTGTTGCAGTCAACCCACCGAGGCTTCCGCTCTTCCCCTGGACTGAATCAACCATCTCGAACTCGCCATCTTGGAGCTCTGTCCACCGTCGCTTACGCTTGGTGTTTCTCCGTTTAGCTCGCGTACGACCGCTTCTCACTTCATCTTGCCCAACATCGGGGTGTTCGTCAATCGCGAACAGCAAAGTCCCCATCTCTACTGTCGCTGGCCATTTCCCGGAGCTGCTGGCGTCGCTGCTGTTGCGGCTGGTGCCGTAGCTGCTGGGGTCTCACTTCCTCCTCTATTACTCGCTGCTGCATGAGCTGGCTGCTGTTGCCGTTGCTGTTGCGTCGGTTGCTGACCGTTCAAGTCTCGCAGCCGTATCCTGCATTCTCGCCACCAGTGTCCAGGCTTGCCACAATAACCACATCTCGTGCTCGCTTTGCGCTGCTGCAGTTCTTGAGCGTCCATCGGTCCGTAGTGTCCACTTCCTCTGTTACCTCCGCGTTCACCTCGTTCCTGCCAGTTCGGATTCATTGGCTGTCTGTTCTGGCGTTGCTGATTGCCGTCGTCCGCCTGCTCATGCGACTCTGCCTTCATCTCCAGCACGCGTGCCTTCGGCTTGGTTGCTGCCGGTTTTGACTCTTCGGGTCCACTTCGAGCTGTTAGGATCAACGCTTGCAGGGCAGCGATGGACAGTGGATCTCTTCTTGCCGAGTTCTCCCACCGACTAATGGCGCATCCCGCAGCATCAAACATGGGCTGCTCTTCGCTCACAGTCAGTCCACCCAGGCCCAGTTTCGCCCAGTCGCTCTGCTCTATCACGGCCGTTGCTGACGCTTTCCTCTTTGCTGCCGGGGCTCCATCCGCGTTGCCTTCGGTCGATCCTTCATCACGGTATCGCTTCTGAGCCACGCGCCAGTCCGTCACTTTCACACCTTCGCCGTACACACCGCTCGCATCTTCAGCCAGCTGCACAGCATCGTCTAGCGTCTGAGGGTGGTGCCCTCGAATCTGCATCCCCACCATCTCGTTGCCGTTCATGAACGCTTCCACATACGACTCCTCAGGAACCCTCTTGCCGAAGCCGATCTGTCTCAGTCGACCAGCGAAATCACCTAGTCGTTCTCCTGGCTGTTGTACTCGAGCCGCCAGTTTCTGCTGCGTCTTGAACAAGTTGTCCCGACTGCCGTACTTCTTGCGGAGCTTCTTAACCAAGTAACTCAGTGTCTTGTCGTCCTCCGTCATGGTTTCCGTCAGCGTTGTCAGCCAGTCTCCTGCTTCTCCTTGCAAATGTGCACTGACACCGAGGTACAGCTCATCCGCCGTCCAAGTGTCGCCACCCAGCCCTTCTTGCCGTTCCACTTCTTGCGGAATCTTCGCCAGCCACGCTTCAATGGACTCGCTTGGCTTACCGTGGAAGTCCGTCAGGTTCAAAGTCTTCATCTTCGCTCGATGCGCTGGGGCTGCAGGTGCTTGAACTATCACTGGTTGGGGTACAGGTACTGCTGCTGCTGGTGGTTGTATCAGGAACCGCTTCATCATTGCTCTCTGTTGTGGTGCCGTCAGTTGGTCCCACCAATTCATCGTCTCCAGGTCGTCATCAGGCTGGTTAGGGGCTACTTGTGCCGCTCTAGCTGGAGGTGGTGCTCCACCATCTTGCTGATTGCCTCCTGCAGGTAAATTTCCCTGCGCTCCTCTCCCTGCCGCTTGACCACCGTCATTGGCTTGGTTGTTGTTATCACTATCATCATCAGAACCGCGAAGTCCTGGTCTCATTGCCGCCACTACGACTCCACTGCTCACTGCTATTCCGTCGTTCTCCTTCACTTCGTCATCATCCAGGTGGATACGGGTTCTCGGCCGTCTCACACGCTTGGGCGTATTCACTTGTCTTCCCGTAGGCGTCTGTGCCGTAGGGGTACTGCTCCTCGGTGATGATCTCGTGCTCACCATTGCTCACTTCCTTCACTCCTGCCTGCCTTCTGTTATCCGGTCAGACGCTCACTCTCTCTCACAACTCAGTTCTGTTGACTCTATTTCAGTCCTTTCCGGAGATCAATCCGTAGATTCCTCCGAAGCCCACCGTAGATTCCCTCCGTAGATCACTCCTCTTCCTCACTCGCTGCCTCACTTGGGTTCGCGCCTCTGGGCCAAGCCTCGTGTAGGTCCCGATGCTCTCCGGTAACCCCCCCCCCCCCCCCGTGTTGGAAGGCCCCTGTATGACCACCAAGTAAGCGTTTACTTTTCAGTAAGCGTTTGTGCGTCCTCTCTTCTGCCTTCTCAAGCAGATCACTCCGTATGACCACCAGTGTACACTAATAA